CACTTCACTAGTGTGCAGACCAGCCCTGTCCCACCTCCCTCTGTCAGTCAGGCAAATTCAACTGGAAAAGGGACGTGGAAAGGCCACTGTGAACTGCAGAGGGCTGTGCACACAGTAGCACACAAGATCTCACAGTAATGTGGCACAGGAACGGTGAGACGGGGGAGGGGAGGCGCAGTTACAAAGGCAGGGCCCGGCAGGCTTGCCGCGTTCTGCAGCCGTGCCTTTGTGGGGCAGGCTCCGAAGCCTCAGCCCGACTCAGAGTGCCTGAACCCTGCAGCGCCAGCCTCCCGTTTATTGCATATTGCCCTTAACATAGCATTTCTAATACCCTAGTGTGAGGGCACCCTAGACCCCTTTTCTCTGGTCACAGGGGTCCTGGATCCCTTGATGTCTCCCAATCACATGTAGCCAATTCCTCACTCAGGCCCCCAGAGCGAGCCTTTGAAATGGAGCAGGTCTAGGCTCCCTCTGGTTTCCTGCGCCCCAAAGTGAACCGCACTCTCAGGGGACTAGCCACCTCCTTCTTAAGAGGGTTTGGGGCAGTTTATAATAAAGGTGGTGTGTGCTCCACTCCAGCTAGGGTGATTTTTTGTTTGTTTGGCTTTTGCTTTTGTTTTTGTTTTTGTTTTTTTTGAGACCGAGTTTCGCTCTTGTCACCCAGGCTGGAGTTCAGTGGCGTGATCTTGGTTCACTGCAACCTCCACCTCCCAGGTTCAAGCGATTCTCCTGCCTCAGCCTCCCAAGTAGCTGGGATTACAGGCGCCTGCCACACCCAGCTAATTTTTTAATTTTTAGTAGAAATGGGGTTTCACCATGTTGGCCAGGTTGGCCTCAAACTCCTGACCTCAAGTGATCCACCTGCTGTGACCTCCCAAAGTGCTAGGATTACAGGTGTGAGCCACCGTGCCCGGCCACTAAGGTGGTTTTTACCTGCACATCCAGCCTGCCTGTGTCCCTAGTGTCTGTTCCATCAGGCAGTGGGGACACGGGCAGACTGGATTTCAAACACAATCGAATGGGGGTGGGGGGTAGGGGATATAGTTACTCCAGAAAATCTGAGCTAAAGCTAGAGGGTGCAACACACAGTATTTCATTCCAGTTCTCCAGGGAGACTGGGTGAAGCGGAGCATGCTGGCAGATTACCACGCTCCTGACTGTGTAGAGGGATATGGAGCCCAGCAGCTGGACAACCCTGGGAGCTCCTGTATCCAGGGTCACTGCAGCCCTGTGAGGCCACCAGTGGGCATGGGACTCTGTGCCAATGGTGCAGGCCAGGATTAGAGGGCTTAGGAAGATGACCTCTCCAGTCTGGACCCAGAAGGACTTCAGAGGCCTACAGCGGTTCTGTCTGCCAGGCCACGCAGAGATGGGGTGGGGTATGGGTTCAGGGCTTGGTGGCCTGGTGCTTACTGCCCTGGAGACAGCAGCATCTTTTTCATGGAAGAAGACAGAGAGGAGGGTGGGGTAGACTCTGGTCATACCAGAATTGGCAGGCACCCACCCACTTGGTCACCCGTAGAAAAGTTGGGGCCAGCCCTGAGTTCATTCTTCCTGCACCTGTGATTTGGCCGGCGAGCAGGGACCGATGCCAAGTGTGGACAGATGGAGTGACTAGTTGGAGGAGACAGACTGGGATGGAGAGGCCTGGAGTTTAGAAGGGGCTCTGGGTGCCTCCTGGGCAGAGGGGCAGGAATGGAACCATGGCCTCTGTGTCCCTCATAGGGAGTGCCTGCCTGCTCCAGGGGAGGGGGGGCTGTGCTGAAGGAGTAGGCCCTGCCTCTGGGGAGCTTCTGTTGAAAGCACATAGAGGGCCTTGGAAGCACTGGACTCAGCTGGGTGGATGACTGGGAGATGGGGGACCCGAGGTGACAACAGACTCTGAGGTTTGGACAGCTCCGCCTAGCAGGGGAGAAACCCCCCACACCCCCCTCAGCCCACTTACACCCAGCTTTACCCCTGGCACACCCTCCCAGATGGGAGTCCCTGAGCCATTTTCAGTAGAGGAAACTGAGACTCTGAGAGGTCCCCACGAGCTTGCCTGTGATGTGGCCCAGCTGCAGGTTTGAACCCAGGTCATCTGGGTTCAAGACTGTGCACTGCATGGGGTGGGAGGAGTGCAGCTCTGAAGGTCAGTGCATTGTGGAGGACGATACAGGGAGGGGCAGTGCTGACAGGGGGCTCTGAGAGGGGCAGGAGCTTGATGGGGTCCCTGGGTCACGATGGCCCCAGGAGGCTAGAGTTGGGGTATAGGGACCAGGTCACACAGGGTTCTGAATGCCAGGCAAGGAGGCGGGGGTCACTGCCGGTCTGTCCCAGCAGGGGGATCAATATAAATGGGGCCGAAGTGCTGGACTCAGGGGAAACCTGGCCAGCGAGGCCCCAACACAGGATGAGGCCTCTGATGACCAGCTTGGGGATGAGCAACGGGGAAGAGCCATGAAGTGTGGGGGTCACCACGCACAGCAGGGCCTGGCCAGTCAGAGCTGAGTGGCCTGCAATGCTGGTGCCTTGGCTCTGGTGTAAAGTTGAATGAGGCCGGGCATGGTGGCTCACGCCTGTAATTCCAGCACTTTAGGAGGCCAAGGCAGGAGGATCGCTGGAACCCAAGAGTTTCAAACCAGCCTGGGCAACATAGTGAGACTT